CCCCTTGGCCTGTCCCTGGGCACCACTGACCAGAGTCTGGCCCCAGCCTCTTGAACTCTACTCTTTAGATACCAATCAGCATTGATCAGATCCCCTCTGAGTCTTCTCCAGCTGACCAGCCCCAGGGCTCTCAGCCTGTCCTGGCACAGAGATGCTCCAGCCCCTCAGCAGCTTTGGAGCCTCCACTGGACTCTCTCCAGCAGTTCCTTGTCTCCCTTGACCTGAGGAGCCCAGAACTGGACCCAATGTTCCAAATGTGGCCTCCCTAGGGCAGAGTCAAGGGGGAGGAGAACCTCCCTTGACCTGCTGGCCACACTCTTCTTTCACCCCAGAACCACATTGACCTTCTTGGCCACGAGGGCCCATTGATGCCTCATGGGCAACTGCTCTGTGACCTTCTAGTGTCCACATCTGTGGAACTTCTCCTTACCTGGCCCTGAGTGGTGGTGGGGCTGCTGCAGACTCCATGCCCGGCGTGAGGAGCACGGGTGGGTTGAGAGGTGCTGCTGAGAACAGCACGGTGGGGAGGTTGCCAGTTCTCCTGCCTGGTGGCAAATTTAAGAAGCTGAAGGAAGTTCTGAGCTGATGTGAGGTTGTCCTACCCCTGATTGTGTTCTTCCATCAGCGTGTGGACTTGGTGAGAAGAGGTTGTCTCTTGTGAGAGGTTAAACATGTCCTGCAGCCCGACCCTTTGTACCCAACTCCTTCTTTCTCTGCCAGGCAAGTTCTTTATCGTGGAGGCTGATATCAAAGAGTTCACCCAACAGAAAGTGGACAAACGTTTCCATGGCATCCTGGACATCCTACGTCACTGCCAGAGGCTGAGGGAGGTCCGTGGCTCCAGGCTCGTCCGCTACGTCGTCTGCTGAGGAGCTTCTCCATCTTCTCCCCCCTGTCCACCTCTCCCCATCCACCTCCCTCCCTCCTCTGAAAGGCTCTAGGGAGTTTTCCCTCTGAAATGAGGAGTGGCAAGATCAAAGAGCCTTGTGGTTGGGTTGGAGAACTGGAGAGGAACTCTCCTCTTGGGGTGAGTGACAGCCACGAACCAGACTGGTGGATTTTAATCCCATTTTCAGCTCAGCACTTGAAAAGTTCAATTTTTTTTCACATTAATGATGTTCTTTCTGTGTTAACAACTTGAAGACTGTGTCTAAGGCTCTGGAGCTACTCCCAGGGAGCATTGAATTCTTATTTCTTTAACCCCTCAAACCAATTTTCCAAATTTCCTTTCCTCAATCTTTTTTCTTCTTACCCTAATTGTACCTTGGGGAGGTTTCCTGTGACAGATCTGGGGGGGGTTTAAACATTTCCAGACTGGTGGTCTGGAGTCCTTTGAGCCACGTGTTTTCCATACCCCATCATGCAGCTAGTTTCTTTTTCCTCAGACCAACTCATTGGGCTGAAACAGTAGAGCAGTGGGGTTTTTTTTTAAGTGAAAATGTTGACTTTCACCTTGAAAATACCAGTTAAACTCATCAGTTTTCATTACAGAAGGTCTCTTTGAGCATAGGAAGTTCCAGAGGAGGATTATGCTGATAAATATCAACTCTGTGTGTCATCAAAACTGTGCTGATAAGAAAAGCTTTGTTCTTTTCCTTCCATCAGCTCCTCCTGCTGTTCTCCTAGAAACTCCTCTAAAATACCTCCTCTTGTGCCCTGTCAGCATTGAAATCAATCTTAATAAGCAAAAGACCACGAATGATCATTGATCTTTTTCAATAAAGAGCTCCCAGTGACTTCTAAATAAACCTAGATTCCAGTTTTTGGGGTTTTTTTTTGTGTGTGTGGCTCCACGCTGCCCATCAGTTTTCTGCTTCTGTTTTCTTCTGCTCTCCCATGATCCCCTGACTGCTGAGCAGCTCTCCAGCCTGCCCCAGGAGGAGATCCCCTGCTGGAGGTGGCCCTGGGCTGTGTCAGTCTTTAACAGCATGTGGACTTTTCTTTCTCTAAAATTTCCTTTGTGCTGATGTGGCTTCAACTTTCAAAGTATAGGGGAGAAGGAAGAAGAGTCACAAATGGACCCTGTGATGTCCAAGTGAAGATTTTGTGATGAGGAGACAGTTGTGGAAGGTTTAAAAGGAACTTGATGGGCCAATGAGACTGAGAGACAGTCTCTGGTGTTTAAATCATCAGGGAAGGATGAGAGAATGTTTCTTCATGATTGGTTTCAAGTTGCTGTTCTCAAAATGTTTTGATTCCTCAGACTTCCAGCAAGTAGGAGTTGGGATTGTGGAAGCCCTGAGGTACCTGGTACTGCATGCAGAGCTCCAGCTTGATCTCTCCTCACTAGCTACAGAGATGGGCAGATTCAGGCTGGATGTGAGGAAGAAGTTCTTCCCCAGGAGAGTGGTGAGACCCTGGAAGGGGTTGCCCAGGGAGGGGGTTGAGGCCCCATCCCTGGGGGTCTTTAAGGCCAGGCTGGAG